GCCTCTCTAGGTAGCCTGTGCCCAGGCTCTGGCACCCTCACAGCAAAAAAGTTCTTCCTCATATGGAGATGGAACTTCCTGGGTTTCAATGTGTGCCCATTACCCCTTGTCCTGTCACTGGCCACCATCAAGAAGAGTTTGGCTTCATCCTGCCTACATCATCCCCTCAGATACTTGTACATACTGATCATATGCCTCTCACTCTTCTCTTCTCCAGACAAAACAGGCCCAGCTTGCTCAGTCTTTCCTCACACAATGGCTGGTCCCGGCCCTTCACCATCCTTGTCGCTCTGTGCTGGCCCTTCTCTAGAAGCTCCACATCCCTCTTGTCCTGGGAAGCCCAGAACTGCCCCCAGTGCTCCAGGTGCCTCCCCGGAGCTGAGCAGAGGGGCAGGATCCCGCAACTCACCCTGCTGGCAACGCTCCTCCTGCTGCAGCCAGGATCCCATTGGCCTTCTTGGCCACGAGGGCACGTTGCTGACTTACGGGTAACTTCAGTGTCAACCAGGACTCCCAAGTCCCTCTCCACAGAGCTGCTTTGCAGCAGGTCAACTCCTGATCTGTACTTGTGCCTGGGGTTTTTCCTCCCCAGGTGCAAAACCCTGTGCTTGTCCTTGTTGAACCTCACGATGTTCCTCTCTGTCCAACTCTCCATCCTGTCCAAGTCCCTCTGAATGGGAGCACAGCCCTTGGGAGTGCCAGACACTCCTCCCAGTTTGGCGTCACCTGCAATGTGGCGAGGGAGCCCTCTGTGCCCTCATCCAAGTCACTGATGAACAACTGAACAGCACCAGGCCCAGTACTGACACCTGGGGGACACCACTGGCCACAGGCCTCCAGACTCGGCCCCATTTATCACAACACTGCAAGCTCTGCCATCCAGACAGCCCTCAATCTACCTCATCGCCAGGAGGACTTGCTGACTTGAGCAGAACTATTTACACATCACTTCAAATCACAACGTTACAGTCAGAGACCGTGCAATTGAGCACCAACAGCATTTCCCTGGGTAGCATAGCACCCTTACACGCACTGGTGGCACAGCTTAAGCCTTGGGTGCTGTTAGGGATCAGCAGGTTATCCTATAGCTTCGTGCAGAATGGGGCAACTTTGGGTATTATCGCCAGCTTCTCATCTTCACAGCTATTTAAAAAAAAAGTTACTGTGCAAAAAACATAATTTAAGAGCATCAAAATATACTTGGTCTGTTTTGGCGGGGAAAAGCCAAAAACGTTCTAAATGAACCTGTAGCAATTTCACTTAGTGAGAAGCTCAGAAAAGCGGATGTGAACTCACCCACTCCCAAAATCCTGCAGTTCATGTTTACTGCCTCCGAGGCAGCCTCCACGCACATCTTCAGGATTAATTCCAGCCTGTCTTCATAGGTCTTGGGGTTCAGCTGCGTATACTTCTTCACTATTTCGCCCTAGAAAACAACAATGACAGAACAGCCAATAAAAGAATGAGCGTTATAAGCTCTTGTTACACTCATTACGGTGTTGCCATCACTCTCTTCTTGTCCTGACCACTAATGTTTCAACTCCCAAAATGTCGCCCCAGGGCTCTACCCTCCAAAAGAGACAAGATTTCTTTTTCAGGACAGTTTGTATTTTACCCATGCCACAGTCTTACTTTCAAATAGGTCATACTTAGAAGACTTTATCTGCCCAGTATCTCCTCTTAAGGGAACGAAAGAGATGTGGAACAAAACAGGCCCAACGAGGCAGCCCTTCCAGTTGTGCAAGGCAACAGCTATGTGCTAGGTGTTTGGAGGTGCACAGTGTGACACCAGGAACAAATACCCAACACTGCTCAGAGTAACACCCAAAAACCTCTGGACGCCAATTTCAATCAAATCCTTACTGCAGGGCTTAGGGGTTCAGTTTTTATGTACTTCCCAAAGCAAGGAGATAGGTGTCTTAAGTGAGTTAATACTTCAGTCCTACGTGTCCTTCTATCAAACAAAATAGATTAAAAGTTATTTGACAAACACCTATGCCATCGCGAAGAAACTTTTTCTCCCATCTTTGCCAAGAGCTTGAGGCTTCAGAGTTTAAACAGAAATTCCTTTTTAGTGGTTCAGATCATCACTGACTGCATGAGCCTATATGCTTATTTCATTATGGGATGCCTTTACAGGGGATTTAGTGCCATGCTGTCCCACTGGTCCATCACTTTAGGACATTGGTAATTTCTCCCAAGCACATCTTCTCATGAGAAGTTACCTGGGAGGTCTTGAAGATATTTAACAGCCCACCTGTACATGGCAGAGCTACACAAACCATGCAGCTCTTAGCTGCGTGGCACAGCCTGAAGAAATGAGGAGGACGGGTCCAGGATCTCCTGTGCATGGAGTCCATCAGTCACAAAATGCTCCTAGACCTGAGCACCAATCCGTAAGTACTTCCAGCTTTTTCTTTTTTTTCCCCCCCTACTTACAACTCAAAACAGTCCTTAAAGTACCTAGGCATCTGTGCATATTTATCAAACGTGGGTTATGCTGAAGACAGTGCTAAACCATTATCGCTTTTCAGACATTGGAGGGAAAACAGTCACAGCCAACACAATCACTCAAAGCCCTAGAAGGAGTTTCAGAAGATTGTCGTGTTGTTCTCATCAATTCTAGATTGACAGACTGTAACTGCACCGTTATTCAGAGACCGTTTTTTAACATCCATTCACAGTGGTTTAGTGGCGAGACACTGTCCTCTTCTAGGTGATACAGCTCTCTCCTGCACTGAAGCTAGGTTAGGCACCAAGAAAGGCCTTGGAAGCTCACCCTTTTTAATACCCCGCTCTTTGATCATGCACAAACCAAACAGACTTTTTCCTCCTCCTCTTGGAAAAAGGCTCTGTGCATTTGAACACCTTTTCCAGTCAGCTCCCGCTTCCTTCCGTATCTCCCTGTTTTCCAGGCTGCAAGGATTGCTGTGGCTCTTCTCCCAGCTGTCTCCACACGCTCCACGTGTCCATGGTGCCTCATACTGAGCAATACAGCTGGCCGAGGCCTGGCCTGGTCTTGTTTGCTTCTGTGCAGGGAGATCTCGGAAGACATGAAGAGTTTTCTTCTGCCAGTAAAGGAGAAGCAAAGGCGCTGCCCCATGGACCTGCACACCCTGAACCCATCACCCGTCCTCCATAAACAGCTCTTCTAGCTATGGACTGTTGTCCAGGAGGATCCTGTGTGTCCGGTCTGTGGCTCCTTCTCAGGTGTCTTGTTGTGAGGAAACCATCCGCACACAGGAAGAGATCTTCAGAGCCTCACCAAGGTGGCAGAACCCAAACAAGCACTGCAGAGTATTTACCTTCATGCTGACGATCGCCACGCGGAGGTTTGTGCCGCCCAGATCCACCGCCAAGGCACTCTGCGTCTCCAGGATGTGGTCAATGTCTTGCGAGATGTTGTCTTTGACAGGAGGAAAACAGAACTTCTTCTGCAGCGGCTCCTCGAGGTTAATAGACTTGAGGAACTTCAGAATCCTGGGTACTGCATTGCCATCCCCATATATTTTTGAGCTATAATACAAAAGAAATTAAAGAGTACTAGGTGTGACACTGCAACCTCCAGGTTTTTACATGACAGAAGGCTGTAACGTGTTTCATTACAAAACTACAGCACGTCTCCTGTGGCACAACTCCACCTCAGACCACCTGTAGAGCCAGGCATGGGAGAGGGTAGGTGTGCCATTACCGTGGAGGAGTTTGGAGATTAGACCTAGCAGCTGGAGAAAGTCTGGCATCTGCTCCATTTTGGGGTAGGAAACACGGAATGTGAAAAGCTGGAGCACCAAAGACACCAGAAAATTAAACAAAAAATTCAGGGTTTAATGAGCAAACTTGCGTCATAAAGCTCTAACAGTTAGAACCATGAGCTCCTGCTGCTACATGTCCATAAAAAAAATGTACTTTTCACACAGCCAATTTTAAAGCGTACAATTCATGTCAGCCAGACAGAAGCCTGCTTTCAGAATATTACCACACACTGCACCAGACATTCAATAAAAAAAGCAACTCACATTCATCCCATTATGGAGATTCTTAGCAAATACACCCGTGGTTCCTGCCCTTGAACACATGCAACCCAATGACGCCGGGCACAACTTGGTTGTTTTAAGCCCAAACCCCACTGTGTGCTGTGACCCAGGAGTTCCTTGGGGAGGTGCTGGTTGGAACCCACAGCTACGTGAGTTCTGACTGCTTGACTTTCTGTTAAAGCATCACTCACACCAAAACATCACTGGCACTGTTAGCTCTCTAGGTACTGCTCTGTACACGGGATGGTGCACTGCGATTCCGAGTGAGCCACATAAAATGAAAAACAGTTTACAGCTGCAGGCTAGTACAGCGAAATATCCTTGTAATTACGATGGACCACTGCAAGACTGAGTGCCGCTTTCTCCGGTGCCCAAAGAAGCAAAGCAAAGACACTTACCAGGGATATTGTTTACCAAACTGAAGCTGCAAAGCATGCAGAATCTTATCCTGGGTGTCAGCATCACGAACATGAAGAACGTTTTCACCTAGGTGACAAAAAATGAGCATAACAGAACAAGTCAGCTACATCAGACTAACTGTCCAGGAAAAATAGTAGTTGTCTGCTCTGGCGAATGGAAACCACAAGTGGAAATACCTTTTATTTGATCTGATTAAAAGAAAAGCAGACCTGTTTCCCTGCCGGTCTGGCGGGTGCCAAGGTTGATAACAGGGGTGCCGAAGGCTCCCACCTCCCGGACCCCACAGCTGCTGTTGCCGATCATGCAGCCCGCGTGGGCCACCAGCTGGATGAACTGCTCGAAGGGGACGTGCTTCACGGCGCGGAAGTTGGGGTGGTGCTCGATGCCCTTCTTCCTCATCACGCGAACCATCTCTTTGCTTCCTGTGGGAAAATGCTGCTGTCGCCAAGCGGCTCAGGGCTCCTTTCCCGCTGCAGCCTCAATTCGCAAGGAGTTGCTAGCAACTGACTGGACTGCCAGCTCCAGTCCTTCTTAGTCCACTGCTTTGTCCCCACTGCGTTCGTTTTGGAACTGGGCTCCTAAAGGTTGATCCCCAAACCCCCTGGAGAAGCCACCTCTGGGTGTCACACCTCCCTCTTCCCTCTAGGAAGGAGGAGAGGTGTCATCCTGCAGTGGAGCTGTGGCAGGCGAACCCCAGACACTGGGATCACCCTGCTGTCTCCAGCCAGAGGAACGCTCTGGCTTGAAAGCACTCCACAAATAAACATGCATTCTTTAAAACCAGCTGTCTTACTCACCAGCATCAACATTGGGGAACAGAACAAGAGTTCTCTTGTTGAAGGAGATGAGCGCATCCAGCGTCAACTCGAACATCTTTATGGAATGTTTGATATCTGTGGTTACTGGATGCTGCAGAGCCACGATATAGTCTCGGGGTTTGACATCTTCACCTGCTCAGGAAGACAGAGAAAGGAAAGAGGGACGATGAACCGATGAGAACCATCTAAGCACTGAACAGGGGGCATCTCGGCACACGACCTGCAGTGGTGCAGCAAAGCTCAAGGGCGTGACAGCAGGACTGTGTGGGGGAACAGAAGCTGAAATGTTTTGAAGCACTTTACAGGTAAAAGGAACAAAGTTTGGGGGAAGAAGTGAGTTCATAACCATCTTCAGGCATGGGAATTTCAGCCCGCAGAAAAGTGGCTTGTGTTTTGTACCTACCTGGTGCTCTCCTCAGAGAAGATGCTCAGCAGATCCTCAGGGCTACACGCTGATAACAACGCTCAACGTTCTAATTTGCCAGTCTCACATATCTGCCACCCACCACTGATGTATTTGCAAAAATGGAAGCATCCAGGGAAATTCTAGCCCCAGACTGGTCTCTGAACTGCCTTGTCCCTGTCTGCCCACATGTACTACCCTCAGCAAACCCACAGACTGTTGCTTCTCAACTGTATTTCTCTATCATGCTTCAGATATCCTTAGGCTGTGATGAGAATAGCTATTACAATTTTATGGTATGCATTCCTTGGTTCTAATTATGATCTTCTTGCATATTTTCCAGCTTGAAAGGTCCATAAATCCCTCATTGCCTTTCCCTTGTTTCAGCCCTGACAGGCAGAGAGGGACACAATGGCTTAATCGGTACCCTCTGTCTTACGAGGAATGAATTCAACTTTTGGTGAAATCAAAATGAAAAGACTGTGATAACCTATAATAAGCTATAATTTAATAATAATAAGCTATAATTTACCAAGTAAAGATGACTACATAGCAAACTGCTATACATTTTTCACCAAAAATCTTGTTGAAGTCAGGCTTAGGACATTACAGATGCTGGCAACAAGGACAGTGGGAAAGGAAGAGGGGAAAATATGTGTTTTCTTATACATATTCTTTCTCCTGCCACTCTTACTCTATAACCTAGTCACTTAGCTGGTCTAGCTTTGAAAGAGTCATGAAGCGCATGTCGAAGCGGACTACTCACCCAGCCACATGCATATGATGCTCATGTAGTCCTTGTTCTTGGCAGAGAGCAACTTGTCGTAAGAAGGACACCCAGCCAGGAGGATGCGGTCGTGGTCCTCGCACATGGCTATGAGGTGCTGCTCGGCACTGCGCGTGCAGCACACGTGGTAGTGGGCCAGCTTGGTGATGGCGTGCCTGATGGAGTCGTCGATGGTGCCGCTGACCTCGCCGCCCTCGATGTGCAGGATGCGGATGTTCATGAGTGCTGCCGAGGTGGCCAGTGCCAGCGCGTCGAACCTGTCGCCGTGCACGATCATGATGTCGGGCCGGAGGCGGTTGAGCACATCGGGCAGCTTCACCAGGGCCAGCCCCACTGACTCCACCATGGCCGCCTCGTCCTCGCCACGCACGATGGTGTGCAGCCGCGTGTGGATGTCGAAGTCGTCCTGCTCGATCATGCGGTATGTGTTGCTGCAAGGACAGCGCGAGCAGCTGAGGTGAGCTGCAAGGACAGGGCAAGCACCCAGTGCAGAGGTGCGCGTGCGCCAACCTCCTCCCGCTGCAGCGGGGCTGCGCAGAGCTGCCTCGTGCATAAAACACGCTCCCAAGGCCACTTCGTACGGCCGCGTTTTCAGCTTAGACCTTCAACGCCGTGTCTGCAACGGCCTGTGGCAAGGAACCCAACAGCTTAATCACACGTTGTGCCAAGAACTGTTTTCTCTTCCTTGGATTCTGCCATACTCCCAGGTCACTGGGTGTCTCCTGCTCATGCACTGGGACAGACAGTCAGCCGCTGCTTCCTGTTCGTTTCCTACGAGCCTGTGAACCTGCAGACCTGTTTCCACCTCCACACGCAAGGCTAAAGCGCACACGGGTGTTTAGCAGCTTTAGCTGAAACGCGGCCCTGCAGCCCTGACCACCTCTGCTGCCTCCTCTCATCCCAGCATCCCCAGAAGCAGGGCAGCGAGCAGCCGGCACATCAGGACGGTGCCCACAAGCGCGGGCACCCCCAGATGCCCATAGCCACCTCACGACGTCTCCCACCTGTTCTTCCTTCCCTGGGAATTCTGAGTCTTCCACACCACTTTTGGACTGCTGCTCATCATTGCCCTGAGGTCCCCCAAGTACCCTCGGATCGGTGCCCTTGGCATCATTCCAGGGCACTAACAGTCCATCAGCTCTCTCCGCTGCACGAATAAAATATTCAGGCTGTTTCTTCACCCCATTTACTGCCAATACCCATTTACTTGCACTAAACTCCAACTGCTACTTGCTACTTCTGTGAGGGCCTTCTGAAACTCCTCATAACCAGCCTCCATGTCCACAACCTTCACTAAATACAGACAAAAATAACGTAACTTTTGAAGCAATGATTTTATCATCCTTAGGTGTTACTTGTACACTAGCTCAGCCCTCTGGCACGTTGCTCTACGTGTAGAGATCCTTTGGCAGTTTCCTGACACATCTGAGCAGGTATTTGCTGCGAGTGGTGATGCTTCGCTGCTCAGAACTTTTACCACCACTTTTCACATCAAACACTACTCTGCAGGTACACTTTCACACCTAATAATCTCTCTTACCCTGCTATTAAGCCACACCAGCCTTTTTCATCCCCTCTTTTTTTTGGACAGGTCATATATAATATATATAACTCCTACGCTGCACAAAGGTGTCTTTCAAACCTGCTGCCCCCAATAAGGTTCCTAAGCAGCTGTAACAAACCATTACAAACTCTTATGACACAAGATTATTTCTTTTCTTTTTAAACATACATTCCTGCTGTTCACACTAACATGTCAGGAACATAACAGCGGAGATGGAAAAACCATCCACCTTACCCGTAGTCGTCAATGAGATGGGACCCGAGCACCACAACGTCCAGCTCGAAGAACTGTGGTTCTGCCTTGATTCCAAACATAATGGGAGCCAGCTTGGAGTAATCGGCCCGGTTGCAGGTAGCGACACAAACGCGGAGCTTGTGGTGGCTCCCATTCTTCTCCATGACCTTCTTTTGCTTCTGCTTTGAGAGATTCTTAAAATACAGCTCCTGAAAGGCACAACAGAGGCATTATTGATAGTGTTCACAGCTACTGAGCGGCACACTGAAGGGCACACAGCTGCACATGGGCACATACAGTGCAGACCCATGGAGCGGTACAGTCGCTGGCACTGCTAGGAAACTACTGGCACCCTGTTACTAAAAGATCTTTACTATTATTAAAGGAGTCTTGTTTTCAAAAAGGGCTGTTTAAGAGAAGCCAACTCTTTTTCTACAAACAATATTTAAATGTTCCATGCAAACAAGATTCAAACATTTTGAAGCTCAACTGTACTTAAAAAGTAAATAGGGATCGTAGCAAACGACAACAACAAACGATTCAAAATCACGCCGCTTCTTACGTAAAAAGGATGCGGAATGGACTTTTTTTCCATGAGGCTTCTCAGTAAATAAAATCAAAACATAATTTTTAATCCCCTTTCAGGTCACAAGAGCTATATCCTCTCACAAGGCAAAATGTTAACACCCTGATTTCAGCCTTGTTTTGAGGACAGGAATAATGAGTCGACCTTTGTGGGTAACTGAGCCCCCAAAAGGAGCTTCCTTCCCCGTGGTGGCTCCAAGGCTAGGTCCCTCCCTCAGGTTGCTATTGCCACCATCATATGCGTTTTTTTTTTTTTATTTGTTTGTTTGCTATCGTACGCATTTGCCATGCGCAAAAACAAGTCACTTTTGCTGCGTTGTTCCAGCAACAGCTGGAAATCCTGCCTCGTTCTTCCGTTCAGCAACTGCAGCCGAAGACACAGAAGATGAACTGCTAGCGGGACAGAAGGCCTCCAACCCAGGCTACACCTGCATCTTCACTTAAATAAATGAGCTGCAAAGCCTGCTCAGCTGCTGAATCACTAGACACAGGAATGGGTCTAGTGATCCATTCACATGGAGGTTTAATTATCAGGAGACTCAGTTTCCCTTCTTCTCTACTATACCCATACACGCGTATGTGTGTGTATATGTATACACACATATGCATATACATATATGTACAAATGCAGCAAACATACCCAGGCTCTTAGCCCAGAGGGTTTACCCTTTGAGGAAGCCACAAATGAAAATAAAGGTATCTTTTCATTTATGAAAAAATATAATTTTTAAAAGTGTATTTTTTCTGATGTCTGTAATCCTCACGGAGGGCTTCAGAAGCACCTGAGAAAGTCTCAAAACGTGAAGGCTGCCCAAACCCTTCACTTTTGCCAGAGGTTCCTCCTCAGGTGCAACCCAACAGCCTGAGGGCGCCTGTCCGTGACAATACAGCCCACA